CCTATTCCGTCCAATCAAAAACCTAGTCACTTTCACCTGATTGATCGCGCCCAGCCCGTCGCGCCAGCGCCAGTTCGTCTTACCTCCCAAGTCACATCTATCTCGACATTGCTGAGTCATTTTCGCGCAATCCCCACCAGCTCCAACTCGCATCCGCCCACGCCACTTGGAGTCTGCAGAAACCACTCCCATACCATCTTTCGTCTACCAGAAGCTGTCACGGATATTTCCGTCATGGAGCCAAGCTTGCCGCTACAAGATCCGGGAGACATCTCGCCGAGATCGTCACGGATACTAGTGCAAACAAAAACAAATCTTGTTCCAGGAAATGGTTATGAGGAAAAAGTCGAGAATATGCGGAACCTCATCTGTCAGCACCACTGGAACCGCGACTTCGACAAGCATCAGGATCGTTGGAATGCGTACGGTGATGAATTTGGTTATGAGGACCGGAGCTGCTACTTCCTCATCGATCATGGTCATGTCGAGCCTCCTGAAGAACCGCGAGTTCTATGGTATAAGTGGACGGGAAAATCCCTGTCAGAAGCCACCCCATAGCGTTGTGAAGCCACCAGTCACCTAATATTTGAGTAGCATTGCCCTTCAGCAAGCCCTGCCTGCGGAAATACGATCGAAATTGAGAGAGTATCCATTCTCGAGGCGACCAGTTCAACGCTTGCCAAACAAAACACCTGTACGGCTCAATGCAGCAAAACATCGTCAGACTATTCGGTCAAAACTTCGTCGCGATATGAGCATCTTGGATGAGGATGTTCAATTCTTACTGACACATCCAGAGGATGCAAGATGGCTTAGAGACAATGTCGAGTCTCGATTTTGGTCGAAGATCCAATCCTTATGTCATTTCGAGCAAGATGAAGCAGTATTGGATTGAGCTGGTTTCTGCATGGCTAGGAACACATATGGTACCTGTGGGAGGCTAAGCCGCTGCTTCGCCAACGGAAGTGTCGCCGCGGCCACGGTTCCCTGTTTGCCGCCGCTATCACAGCACCTGCTGCTATCTCGCCGCGGCAGTGCTGTCTGCAGCCGCTGCTAACGGCTTGTCCATCTCCCAAATTCGCAGTGTCGCGTACCGTAGCAATCGCCGCCCAGAACACTCGGGTCGAAATGGGCAAATGCGGGATTTCGGACAATCTGCACTCTGGAAGGCCGCTCAGAAACCTACCTTCAGAGGGTGTCGTACAATCATTCACATATGGAAGGAAAACACGGCTACCGGCGGAAGCGCTTCTCAATACAGATATGAGGCTACATTCGGTAGAGTTTGCTAATTTCCCTAGGAGGGCAAAGAACTAGTAAAGCTAAGTTCGGGTCCGTGTGCCCTGGTGGAAGCACGGATTTCGTCTCGCTGCGTTTCGGATTCGGGGGCTAATGAGGACCAGGCTCTCGTCGATAGAATGAACAGGCTAAAATGTATCGGACAAGCCGCAGGGTAGACGCTACCTTCACATAACAGAATGATGTTGCTGTCAGACTTGATTCAGATTATTGTGTCAATGATGCAAAGAGCACAAAACAAATACATGATGAAGAGACCTCTATGAACCCTGGTGGCAGCCTCGCGCACCTAGTTATCACTTTTCAAGGTTACTTTGACAAGCGTGGTCAGCTCTCATTGGACGTCAAGTAAGATGAGTCGTTGGAGCATTGGAAACTGTTGTAATCCGTAGTGCGGCTGAGGAACTTCAGCATCTGCCATGGAAATGGTTCCTACGAGACGAGTTGGACGGAAGACGTACAGGTTACTTGCTGGGCTTGTCACGGCTACAAAAATCTATATACAGATCGGGGGCTGCCCCCATTGCCAGGGAACAGGCGAACAAACGGAACGGCAGCTCCGTACCGAGCGGGTGCCTTGCGACTGTTGGGGGTACTATTGAAGACATCTGTGGACTGATGGAAGTGACAATAGGGTTGGTTAGATATCCTGAGGACGTGACTTATGGGCCAGCTGAAAATGTCGCCCGGACTGTTGTCATAACCAAACTGAGGCTGCCACTGCAACCTGAAAAGCATGAAGAATTCATTTTGCCGAGTAACTAGTAATACCTGTCTAGTTTCTGGACAAGCATGACAGGCAACAATGGCAGTAGATGAAGATACCTACTTCGACGACCAAAGGACAGTGGACCATGCTAAGGGGGAGGGGGGCTTGCCGTGGCGCGAGATGCTAATCAGACTAGTCATGGTTCAGCACTGATCGACCTCATAGGGCAATTCGAGAAATATTCTAGTGGTTTTAGCAGGCTCGTTCAGCCCCTAAACAGGAGCTCGCCCAGAGAATTCCTTCCGATCACCCCAGCCTATCGTTATCAAGGCGGTGTATCCGGGTAGTAGAGCAGGACGCGGCACATCCGGGGACAGGGGACCCCTAGAGGATCGTCTTAGACCTGCAAAGCATCGCCAGCATGCGTAATCCTCTACTGCTTCTTGGGATACGAGATCCGTTCACGCAAGATACAGCAGAGCCGCAAGTACGTTTCAGATTCAGCACGTAATCGAGCAGGTGACCCAGCCAAATGTTGCCCAACGGCACAGGAATTGGGATTCTCTGATCTCATCTCATCTCTCGGGGCGGTTCGCATCTCGGCGCTCAGCGGCCCAATCGAAGGATGTCGCCGGGAGAGCAATGGATCGATTCTGACGTGCTGGGCTTTGCACCCTGCGGGGAGGCAATGTGAAGGGCCGAGCATGTAGTGCGGGGAACGGGACGAAACAGATAATACCTACAGTACGCGCTGGTGACTCAGAAGGAAACTGCGTAAGGCTGCTTGGCCTGCTCCGGCCATCGGTCGCCAAGTTGGGCAAGCCGGAGAGGATCAATGGGCTGTGATGTTGTTGCTGTTGCCGATGATGATGGTGGCATCTTTCTTTGCTTCTGTCTGTTGACCGCGGTGACTGTATCAGCAAGATCGTCCATCTAGAGCCTAACTTAACCGCTGGTGGCCGGCGAGCGAATTCGGACATGCCTGGATAGTCGAGCTCAGCCGCGGGGCTGACCGTTGGGTTGATTCACCAACCCACCAGCAGGTGAAGCTACAACGTGGCCGCAAAGATGGGGTCTTGTGTCGAAGCCAATGGCAGTGGGCAATCCGTCTCATCTGAACTGTAAGTGCATCATCCTCCCCTTGATGACATATTCTCTCGTGCAGCGGACACAAGCCGCGCTGTGAGACTATTCATCGGAGCAGCCTCCGCGTACAACCTGCCGTCGGAAGCCGAGTCCGCGTTACAAATTCACCCAAGCAGATAGGATTCACACAACACCCAAGTCTCAACCACCGCATGCCTCTCTGGCCTTGTGATCTCCAATGTAGAAAGATTGTTGTGGTTGTCCGGGATCGGAAGCGGCTGGGCAATGACACCTTTCAGAAATGCTGTGATGAAAGCCGAATTGGCAATGTAGAGAAGCACCGGTGGAGGGTGTGGACGGCGCAGGCACAGGCAATTCCCTTCCTGTCGTCACTCCCTCTCTTCCTGTAGAGCCTTTCGCCTCCCCCTTCTTTGCTTGCTGACGCATATTCTCCAAAGAAGCTGCTAGGTAGACATGTGTCCTTGGAGATGTTGTAAAGCTGCAGGAGTAGCGCCGCCTAACAATGTACATCTGCGTTACCCACAAGTGAAGTCATGCAAGCTGTGAAACATACAGCCCAGGTACGGCCAGGTACCCCGCGTAGAATGTCCCTTGTGCTCGGTCGGCATGGGAGGTCCAAGACAATTTACAATCTGCCCAAAGTCTCCGGTCGCGCGGTCGAGACAAATGGACAACACCGCCGCATGGCATGGTTGGACGAAGCTCTGCTACCGGAGCTGTCAGTGCTACGCTGATTGCATGTGTCAGAAGTTACAAGTCGACGTGCAGCTCAATTAACCCAAAATGCCTACAGGATACTCCAACAACTGCACACCTTGCTACACCTTACCCCAGAGATCTCCATCGGGGTCTGTATTTAAAGAATAAAGTGAGGCTGACCCAGAGGTGTATGGATCTGAAGAGTCTCGACTGAGAAGAGGAGCTATTCCATCCGGTGCAGATTGTATGCAAGTGATGCCATGTTGCCCTGCAGCTGTGCAAGATCTAGCGGGTGTGCTCCTATGCGGAATCTGGCGTTAGTCTTACAGCATGACCTGCTGCTGGCACCAAGCTCCAACACAGCCCCTTGGCGTTGGACACTTGCGCTTCCTCACACTCCCATTCCCATGTGTGTTTGATCTCGGCCTCTTCCCCATCTCTGCACTGCCGAGCACAGTAGCTGGTCCTCGTGACGCCTCCTCGGCTGGTCAATGGGTCATCTTAGATGGACAGATTCGACCGATCTCGGGGGGTTGCATCATAGCTCTAGGCCAGGCATGGCCATGTAGACATTTCACGCAACTGCGACAACTGGATGAAACTAAGAACTTAGACTGCAAGAGTTGGACTTCTCCAAATACCAAGCTAAGCAAGCTCCTGACCTACCTTAGCTACGTGCAACACAGCAAAACACCACCGCCGGCGGCCCATGTGTAAAAGCTGCCAACGGATATTTAACCCCATCAACCAGCCGCCCCTACTTTCTGAGATTAATTACTTTCTGTATCCCTCACCGATCCTCATCTCGAGTAGGCTCGGTAGATACTTGTGAGCTCTGTGCGCCATACCTTGTGTGTAATAAGGAAAAAAACCCAACTGTATCAATTCTGGTATTTTCTATATTTACAGCACTTTCCCCCACGCTCCAAGGCCGCCAGACTTGGTCCCCCCACGCCCTGTGCAACATTTTCTTCTGCACAACTCTCAATTTGCGACTTAATTGTTAAATTTACTCCCTTCGCAAGAAGAGATCTTGCTGGTCTTTGCTTCAAACTACCCAAGGTAAGCGAGATAGCGCATGAGTCGGCGTATAAGTCTTGCTTCATACTAATTGCTGTGCGGTCCTAGAAGCTCTCTCCCGGCTGATACCTTGTATAAATCAATACCAACACTCCTACCATATAAAATGGCTGTACACAACAACGACCCGGACCCCTCTAAGAACCTGCCCCCTCCATCCGACATCGAAGGGCAGTGGGACTTCTTTGAAGATGTCGATGACAGGATGCCGCAGTTCAACGGCAGCAATCTGTCCTCTGTCCAGCTCGCGGGCACCACTGCCGACGGCGGTGGATCGGGAACTGCCATGGCGGATGCCACCGCCCAGATGGGCCGGATGGACATTGGCAACATGAAGCCCAACTTCGACCTCGAGGGGGACTACGAGATGACCCACTACGCCGGGTCAAACAACAGTGGGCCTTCGGTCGGGAGCGGCGGCGTGGAGACCGACCATTTCCGTCCCGCTCCTGCCGTCCAGGGTTCCACGGCCCCGGGGCCACCTCAGCTGACTACCGAACTGCTCGGGATCCACACCCGGCAGACCGGCCTCTTGTACACTTATCCCGACAGCCCCGGAGGCTGGGTTCAGCGCACCCGCCTTTCATTCTTGGAGGATCCCATGACTCGCCATCGCTCCACGAGCCCCAGGGCCGTCAAGAAGGCCCCGACAAGCATCTTGAGCGAGGCAAGTTCCGCCTGGATCCCTGTTCCCTCGCCGGATAGCGACATTGACGTTGCGGGCGCCGGGGAGTGGGCAAAGGACACTCCAGCCCCACCTCATCACCGCCGCCGTCGACGCTATTAAGACGCCTGTCTACACACTTTCATCTGCATTTGGTGTCTAAAAAGAATGCATCGTTACGACTGACTCTCGTTTATTGTCGTCGCACGCCCGGTTCCAGAAAAGGTCGAAGGCAACAAGAGACGAGTTTCTGTTAGATTTATATGTGATCGCCTGGCTTGCAGTGTTGCCTTCTCCTTGTATGTATTGTACTATGTTTCAGTACTTCTGTATTGATTTTCCAGATGTTATGTACCGCACCGTACCAGATATCAAATGAAGACAGGGATCCATAAATCACGAATTGATTAAGATAACTTGACCTTAACTCACCTCGTGGGGTATAACATCAAGACACACTTGAAGTGACCAGCGGCCCGCCTTTCCCTCTACATCTCCAATTCTCCAACTTCAATGATCCTCAAGCACCTACAGACCCGCTGCGGGGGCGCAAGAGTGAGGTTGTATCCGGGGACAGGGAACAGCCCATTCTGTACCTGGTTCGTGGAGGGCTTGTATGGAGCTAGCCCTTTAGCCATCCAACGCAACCTCCGCAAGGTCCATCTCCAGAGTTCCACCTCTGGGATCGCTCCGATGCCTCGCCACCTCGCTACTCCACAGTTACTATAATACCCAAATATTCAAGTCTTAGTTTCTCCTTGACTATAACGGAAATACAATTTAGCCTAATGGTACCACAACACGAAGCTTCACCTCCGCACCGAACCCAAACAACTTCCACGAGCCCGATGCATACTGCAGTGTGCCGTGGATCCGTCATGCGACCTTGCCGTTCTGTTCCTGCGTGCTTCATCTATACAATGGAGATCTGCAACTGGTTTCTGGGAGCTGGGAGCCTTTCCCTGGTGATGTAGGGTCTTTTGCTGTACTGCCGGTGTTTGCATCGTGACATTGAACATCCACATGATAGCTCCTCGGCTTACAAGCACCATCACGGTGCTCTTGGTGTTGTTCCAATCATGGGCACTGGCAAGTACCAAATGCAAAGGGAACCATTGGGTCTCGATATGGGGAACGATGCCTCAATTGGTCGAGCCTCAAAATCTGCCATCGCCGCCATATGTAAGTACTATAGTCATACCCATACCTCGAGAATAGAGCACACAGATAACGCCGTTCTTCGCTCAATAGAATGGATCCAATGTGGTCTTCCAAGATACTACAATCCGGCAAACAGTGTACATCACGCAAGATGCTCCGACCATCCGGCTGCAGATCTCGAACGCCTTCGGCATTTCAGACCTTCCAATTACGGCTGTGACCATCGCGGTGCCTCTGAATGGCTCCGCCGGGACGAGTGCAATCAAGACCGAGAGTGTCAAGCCACTCACCTTTTCTGGACACGCGGACTTCATCGTGCCCAACGGCGCCCGCGTCGTCAGCGACCCGGTGGACTATCCCGTCGAGGCGGAGCAGATCCTGACCATCAGCATCTACCTCGCGGCCGGCCAGAGCACCAACTACATCACCGGCCACCCGGGCAGTCGCACGACGTCGTTCTATGCTCCCGGGAACCGAGTGGACGCTGCTGATATTGCGGACGATGCGGCCGCGCAGCACACTGACCACTGGTATTTCATCAGCAACATCGACGGGTGGCTCCCTGGTGCTTCTAGTGCCCTTGTCATCGTGGGGGATAGTATCACCGATGGACGAGGCTCTACGACGAACAATAATGATCGTTGGCCGGATCGATTGCTTGCACGCTTGCAGAACGACTCCTCCACCAACAATATAGCAGTCGTCAACCAGGCCGCCGGGGGCAATAGAGTTCTCTATGATGGTTTAGGTCCAAATGCCCTGGGGCGCATCGACAGAGACGTGATCGTGCAGTCCGGAGCGAAGTATGCGCTGTTGTACGAAGGGGTGAACGACATCGGCATGGCAGATACAGACGCCGCCACGCAGGAGACCGTGGGAACACGGCTGATCGGGGCCTACGACCAGGTCATCTCGCGCCTTCATACCTTCGGCATCCCCGTGTTCGGCGCAACGATCACGCCCTTCAGCGGACCCGGCCAGGCGTACAGTGACGCCAACAGGGAAGCAACGCGCCAGCGCGTGAACGAATGGATACGGCACGGCGGCCGGTTCGACGCCGTGGTTGACTTCGACGAGGCGGTTCGGGACCCGGCGAATGCGACGCAGCTGGCTTCGGCGTATAATAGCGGTGACTACCTGCATCTGAACCCAGAGGGATATCGAGTCATGGCGGAGGCCGTGGACATTTCCCTGTTTGCACGGTTCAAGGGCGGTGTGCACAGCATGACTTGAGCTGTGTTAAATAGGGGCGGGAAGTGTGGAGTCGGAAAGAGATGACAGGACGAAAAATCAATGATCAAAGTAAAAGGCAAAGGATCTAATATAATATATAACCTACGAGAATTAATGTTGCCTGCAAACGAGGCTCTGGACAACCGCAGTTCGTTATCTCTCTGGCGAAGACGCGGAGGAAAATGAGGCTTAGCTGCCAACAAAGCTGCCTCGAGCCGATAAGAACAAGGGGTATTGGATAATGATTTCGTGCTAGCAGCGACTAACGTTTGAGCCTGCAAATCGAAGCTTCTCGTTGGTATTTTAGTTTCACTACCTTCTATTTTGAACGCCACGCTCGTACATGCGTAGATTAATATGTACATGACCGTATGAACTCCTAGGATGCCTTACAGGGATTGTCCCATACCATCATACTTCACATCCAAAGCCGGCAGGTGCCATCGCTTCCGGCTGATACGCACCAGGCTTCCCGGGGATGCCAGTCGACATCCATGACGCCAAGGTGGTTGACAACCTTGTGACCCTTGAGCATTTTCCTACGTCTCTAGTTAGTTTCCCCTTTATTTCCAAGACTTATCAAGCGTCAGAAGGTGAAGCACTTACACAGGCACAATGGTTGGGTTCTCCATCAAGTCACTGACGACCTTGCCATGGAAGATCTGTAGCGAGCCATCGTCACTGGCATCTGCAAAGAGCGGCAGTCCACCCTTGTGGTACTTGACAGCACGGATGGCCTGAGCGTGGAATCTCATTGTCTTGTAAGGTCGGTTAGACAGGTCAAGGTCATGCCACAGCAGGCGCCTATCATAAGACCCGACTACTATATTGTCTCCCCCAGAATGAATGTCAAACGAGGATATCCACTGAAAACTCGCGATTAGCACTTGTCTCTCACCAAAAAACTTCAAAGGTTGTCGGTGTACGTACCTTGGCACCTGGTTGTATAACCTTCACCAGCTCGAGCTTCTGCAAATCATAGCAACGGATCGTGCGCTGCGTAGCAACAAAGAACAGCGGCCTTGAAGGGTGGAAGTGCGCTGTCTGAGCGAGGCCAGACAGCTTCCGGAATGGGATCTGAGATAGATGTTTCGAGAGCGTATGAATTGCGACAGCGCTTCTTTGCCCTGTAGGCGAGACTGTGCAGAAGTGGTCACCTCTCCTGTGCCATGAGATGACCTTCACTGGTGACCGAACAGTGATCTTGAGCAAGACACCCTCATCTTCTAGTCGGGAACCTGGTCTTGTCCACTTTGCCGCAGGTTCCTTGTTTTCGACGGTTGTTGATTGTGCCTTACCGCTCGCGGCATAACCGAAACCTGCGTCAACAACCTCCCTGCTGACTCGCTCCAGCTCGGGATCCACCACAGGAGGAACAATTAGATAGACTTCCTCGGCTGCAGCTGCTGCAACAATAAATGAGTCCTTCGTTGGCCGCCACCTGACCACATCAACAGCCTCTTCGCTGTTGAGCTTGACACTCCACACCTGACGGCCAGTCAGCAGCTCCCAGACTCTGACTGTGCCATCATCACCACCTGTTGCCAACCAGCTGCCAGTAGGATCGATGGCCAACGTCCGCACACGACCCTCGTGTCCCCTGAATATCGTCTGGCACACGGTCGGGAAAGGCTTGAGCTCTTCAGGCTTTGGTAGCTTGGGAAGCAGAGAGCTCGGGTCGATGTTAAGCCTATTCTTCCTCACCCGAGGTGCCAAATAGAGATCCAAACATCTCTCAAAACGCTCCTTGACAAACATATCGTAGCCAGGGACTTTGCGTAGCGAGTCGAATTGCTTTGGCAAGTACTCCTTTTCGCGTTCTTCGGGGTCTGTGCTCTCCCAAGCGTCCCTCTCCTCCTTTGTGGGGAGATACTCCGGAGGTGGGTTGTAGCTTAGATCGTAACCGGGAGCAGACAGTTTCGGAGCAGGGATATGCATGACATGTGGCTCTCGAGGCTGCTCATCTTGCCATATATCATAGTGAACCTCTTCTTTCTCTTCCTCCTCCTTCTCGCGCTCCTCAGGGGGCTTATACGGTAATATCCTGCCTTCTCTTATTGCCCGGACAAGCTTCATGATGCGCTTCTGCTCGTGCTTAGATGGTAGGAACCGCCGCTTTGGCTCTGGGGCTGCGCTCAGAGGCATCTTCTCTTCAAAACTAGTAAACCACTCCACAGTATCCGGATAGGGGTCATAGCCTTCCTCTGGAACCTCGTTCATCTGAACACGACGCAGGAGCTCTAGCTCATCTTGACTGAGATTCAGAGGCTTGCCTGTGGCGGGGTCTGTCAGACCTGTCCAGCCCTTAGGCACCTCGATGCTGTCCAGTAGAGCATCTAATGCCTCTCCAGTAGCCGGCCGCATGATCTTCTTTCCATTGATATCATATCCAATGTGAGGGTAGGAATCGTAGAATGAGAGTGGGATGTCGCCGATAGTGTTCGCTGGTCCTTGCGCATCGCTATCGTCGGAGTCGTAGACAGGATCAATCTCGTCATATTCGTATCTTACACCTCCATTGGCATCCGTGACGACTCGGTAGTTGGGACCCTCGATTTCTTCCGCCTCTACTTGAGGAGGGTCGAGTCCTGGCAATTGGCCTGGCGCCAGCGGCTTCACCTTTGCAGGGTCGGTCTCGTCATCTGAAGGGATGTCGTCGCTGTGCAAGGCCTCGTCATCATCTAGGCCGTTCTCGCCTTCCTCTTCGTCCTCGCTGTCAAACCCCACCTCCTCTTCGTCGCTGCTTGCAGCGTCAGAGTCGTCTTCGCTTTCACTTTGCGACAGCGCGCCATCGAGAAGACCATCTATGATCTCGTCGTCGGACACTTCGACATCCTCCTCTGAAGACGCTTTCCGCTTTCTTTCCGGCATGTTGAGAATCGATTTGATCACCAATTGGGTTGGGTGATCTGTCGGTCTGCAACTGAGTGTGCCGCTGTACGATTCTTCCAGACGGGAAGCACCACCAAATGCTAAGCTAAGGTGCTCCCAGAAAAAAAAAAGTTCTGCCACCTGCGGGGAGGTGGGCAGCTGCGATAAGAGCCTGCCAGGTGGCACGCAGCCAGGCATCTCTCACCGCCTTTGCACTCCAGTTGGCGCACGGACCACGGAGGGCCTTGTCCTTTCAGCCGTCTATTCGTACCAATGCGGTCGACTTAAAGTTCATGATGACAAAGTCGGGAGCCGGCACCCGTATGTCCTCCGATCTCCTGCTCTAGTCTAGGTAGAATCTAGCCACCCTCGGTCGGCCGAAGAACTTCCCCAGAATCTCTCAAGAAATATCTTGCCGTCTGTCTGTGATAATACGCTGTAGCACTTCGATTTCAAGGTCATCGATGACACTGAATAGGCCGCCTCAACTCTCCTGTATAGGCTTATTAATTTGCACTCGCACTCTCGGGCTAGCCGTTTCTGTTGCTGGCTAGAGCCGGGGCCACGAATCCTCCTACTGCCTTCAACTTCACTTCACCTGATTTTACCACCAACGTCCTCCCTCCTCGAATTGAGGACCAACAGCATTGAAAAGGAGAATCACGCCTTACTGCTTGTCGTCAAATTCAAAGGGGTCCGCCCCGTAAGTTACGGGTTGAGCAGAACGGTGAATATCTACCTCAGCGCCCCTCCTCACAACAAACATGAACGAGAAAACCAGCTCTGACGCCGCTGGTGGGGCCCAGACGAAGCACAGAGCCTGTGATGAATGCAGTGAGTCTGATTCTCGTATTACTTCCAGGAAAATTCACTAATATCTCCCCAGGAACACGAAAATTAGCGTGCACAAAAGAGCCTGATGGCTGTGCGCGATGTCGGCGGGAAGGCATCGTCTGCCACTATTCTCCCCAAAAGCAAATGGGTCGACCAAGGAAACGACCACTTGTTGAGGTTGAAGAAGGCGCTAAAGTCGACGAGCCAGTCATTGTTCCAGCCAATGACAGTGCTATGGACATAGACACGTCCTTCCTCGACCCTGACGTTTCACAGTTCAGTTTTCTCGACATGCTGGGCCCGGAATTTATGTCGAATCCCCAGCCGGGTCCTCAGTCCCAGAAGATTGACTCGAAGGGAGTCCGTGCCAATAAGGGCATATGGCACTTTGATATTGGTGATATCGATTTTAATCCTAACCCTCTCGCAGCCCCTGAGCCTCCCCTACTAAACCAGGACGAAGTCTTGCCGATGCCAGAGATAGACTTGGGCTTCTGGGAGAAAACGCCTAGCTTGTCGTCTCAAGGGGGAACACCACCGGACTCCAATTCTGCGACCTCCGGTGTCCCTCCTACTGGTAATTGTGGCTGCCTCGCAAGCCTTTACCTTGCTCTGGACTCCCTTCAGCGTCTTCCGAACAAAGTCGCGCCTGCGATGGGCGTGGCTCGAAATGCGGCAAAAGCGGCCCACGATGCGATCCAGTGCCCTGTTTGCTCGCCGCCTTTTGTGAACCACGCCGAACTCGTCCCGCTTTCTTCGTTCCAGAACATGATGCTGCTTGGAGCTCTTCTGCCTTCGACCGCCAACGCCTACAGACAGATCCTTGTGATGATCGACGAGGAGACTGCTAGGGCTACAGCCGAAGGTCGGGAGCTAACATTCATGATGAACGAATATGGAGGCGTTTGGGGGAGTCTATCAGATAAGGTGTGCGGTGCGGAGGAACGTCTCAACAACGCCCCAATGGAGCCGAACATGTGGCGACTTGCGGTCCGAGCATTCCTCAAGACCGACGTCTATGGGATCAAGCCGATGGCCGAAGGGGGCCCGAGCTGCATGCCCACCTGTCACCAGCTTGGCCTGAAGGATGTCGTGGTCATGATGGAGGAAAGATCGAGGCGGCGACATGAACAGATGGACGAGCTTGTTGCCAAGGGGTTCATCAGGCCTCAACCAGGCTGCGTTCATCCGTTTCCTACGCCTGGCGAAAAACCAACCTGCATGCGTATCATCGACATTGCGAAGCAAGCCATCGACCAACTCAACATTGCTTAGTCGAGGATCCCAAGAGGCTTTTCAAAGATATGATTGTCAATCAAGTTTTTGAGGCTTGGCTGCCGATTTGTCGTCTTCTGTTTTGGAGACGACAGCGCGGTTAACGGCGCGTCGAACTCTGACAGTGGAAGCCATGGCATTGTCAAAGGGTGTGTGCTGGAAATACCGTTCCGTTCCAGAGTGAAACCATCCGTGGCGCCCACAGGTCCACTGTGACGGGTCTGAGGGAGCAAGGGATCACAGAGACCATCGTTGGAGGCAAGTCAAATGTCGAATGCTTCATACTACAATACTGTGGTGTGATGACAAAGGGAAGGGGTAAAAAGAGGACAGCTTTGGGTGGGTTTGAACCCAAAGCCTTGGTTGATACTCCTGAGCTTGCATCGCGAAGCCTGCAACGGGGGCGAACGGTTGGTCGTTTCTCGACTACTTCGACTCGACCCCTGTTGATATGGGGCCATCTTAAATAAAAACAACTTTATAAGGTCTTCGTCTGAAGGTGGCCGCCCCACATTTTAGGTGACGACTAGGAGGCTCACCTACCCCGTTGACGTCCGGCATCAACTCGCAAGGTTCTGTGCGTCTCAACTCATTGCGAGGCCCTCTTGGTCTCTCTTTCCCACCGCGCGCCGAAGGGGCCTGGCTCAACCTTGAAGCTTCTTAGTGAGACTTCCACCGCCAAAGTGGTTAAACACGACGAATGGAAACTCTTTGGCTGTCAGTCGAAATTGACATATACTGAATGTATTTCAACTATTGAGGGTCATTCATGTAGCAGTGCTCGTCAGTGAGCTGCATACTCCAAGGAGGAATGTATGGAACTATGTTGGATTGGGGATTTGCAGGAGTACATGGATGGGTACAGGATCGTGTGTTGCTAGTATCTACGGGAGTTCTAGGCCAACCGCTTATCTTCTCAGCAGCTACACCTGCCTGGGCATGATTACGGCTTTGTTACGTACGCAGATTTGCTTTCCATATCGGACATGATCAAGATACCATCATTTCAAGGATTCACGGAGATGCCGTGACTCTTGCCCTCTGAATTGTTGAACTTTTCATTTTTACATATTCGAAGCAAACCTGAAGGTACGCCGGATAATGATTCCATCAGTCGTTTCCCAATCTCCACACCCTGACGAGCATCGGCTTTTTTGTGTTTGTAGAATGCCCACTGACACCGAATTTCCCCAAAAATCTTGCTTCTCAGCGCTGTGATTATATTCAGGATATTAATCTCTCGCGATCTGACCCTGTCTCTTCTTCGCGGCGCGAAGTCATCCCTTCCACGCGTCATCGCCACAGCCATTCTCGTCTATCTGGATCTAGTAAACCTTCTTCTTCTCGTCGATGCTGAACTGGCCGGGGCCGCTGTTAACGAGCAGCAGGAGGCCACCGACAATGGAGAGGATCTGGAAGAAGTCGTACTTGGCGAAGTCCTTGTGGGGGTGGTGCTCGTGGAGCTGGGCACGCAGAGTTAGCATTTCATCAGAACCCTCATCGGGGGCTTCAGACTTACAGTCCAGAAGTTGTTCACCAGGATGTTGAAGATGCTCAGGATGACAACCAGCAGAATAGCGCTGAACTTGGCCTTGAAGCCCACCACGACCATGACGCAGGCGATGAAGCCCAGAATGGAGACGATGACCCTCCAGATGGACCACGAGCCGCTGAAGACGAAGCCGATGAAGAGGAAGATGAGCAGGACGCGGCCGGCCAGCTGGAAGTACATCTTGCGGTCCTTCTCCTCGAGCTGCGGCAGGCCGGCGAAGGCCTTGGTCTTGCGCACCCAGGAGTCGGACAGGACCATGAGGAGCCCGCCCATGACGGACAGGTTGCGGAGGAAGAAGTTGAGGTCGAAGATGAGGCCGTAGCCGAGGGCCTGGGTGATGACGACGCCGATCAGGCCGCCGACGGCGTACTCGGAGTGTTTGCGGATGATGACGAGCGTGGAGCAGGTGGCCATGGCAATGACGTTGACGATGAGGAAGAGGTGCGTGAGGCCGCTGGGGACTGGCAGCTTATGTTAGTCGTAGAAACAGCATAAAGAGCAATCGGAGGATGGCATACTGTGGCGGTAATCGTGCAGATAGGTGAGCTGGTCGCTCCATTGTGTTATTATTCTGAGGGCATCCTCGAGGAATGTCACGACAATGAGGAAGCGGCCAATAGCCGGAAGATAGCTGGAATCTCGTTAGCTACAAGCTCCAAAATCCGTGCACAAGACAATATCCGGAGAAGACGTACGGCTTGATGGGTTCGCTGACAGTGTCCAGCATGTCCTCAATCTTGCTCGTCTGCTCCCGGATCGTGTCGAGGGGGCTGGACTCTGTGCGATCGTCATTCTGCCCAGCGAAGGGATTGCCGGCGCCGAGGCCGTAGCTCTGCGAAGGTCCTCGCAATTGCGCCATCGTAATGTTATCGGAGGGGGAGGTTGTTTAAGGGGTACCGGGCAGACCTGCTGGCGCGAGAAGGCAGAGAATTGAGGCGAGAATTGCGCCGCTGCAGCCAGTCAATCAATTGAGAAAGCTGTACCTTGGATGTCCTGTGCCACCAGCGTCTTTCTATAAGTTGGCAAGAAAAGAAAAGTGCAAAATAAACAACAGCGGCGGTGTCCCAGGACGGCCGGAGAGAGTCAATCGGCTGGAATGGAGGGGAAAGCCAGAAGCTGGAGACGGGTTGGGTTTTGGTGGGAGGAAGCTGTAGAGATTCGCAGATCCTGGAAGGAGGAGGAGGAGGAGGAGGAGGAGGGTGGTGGTGGTGATGATGATGATCTCAGCCAGACAGCCAGCCAGACAGAGGGATTGAACAACTGTGTCCTCAAGCCCACTGCATCCATTTACGCACGCTGTCCGGCAGTGCCAGTCTCTCTAGGGCAGGTCAAGCTCCGTCGCCTCGAAACAAGGGCTGCCGTCTGCGGGTACCCCAGATACCCAAATCCAGAAGATACTTAAATTTATTAGCTATTTGTCACCATCGAGCTCGTATCCACTGGGGCTGGACTAACAGGCCTCGGGGCACGTCAAGCTCCTGTGGGGCACAAAGGGTCGGTGCGCTGCTCCCCCCCATCCACTGTATTTAGCTGCCCTGTATTTAGCCTTCAGCCACTGGCCGTTTTGCGACATTAGCTCGCCATCCAGATGCCCTTAGCACCCTCCTGTTAGGGAGTCGGAGCCCCGAAAACGTGCACGCGAACCCCGCCGTTTCAGGGGCATCCGAACTTTGGTGAGCTCAACATTGTGAACAGCCGAGCCGAGACTTGCTTCCGTGCTGCTTCTACGAGATCTTCTCTATCGGATCAAATACGGAACCGCAAGTCTTCTCAAGCCACGTTTCCTAAAGAATACGCATTCTGGTTCTGGAAGAAACATCGTGAAAACTGACGGTTCTTTCTTTCTCGGCATTTTCTATTTCTGAATCTCAATCCCACACCAACCAAGCCTTTGCTAGTGAAAAAAGGCTAGCTACCACAATGACAATGACGGCATTGCAAATTCCCGTGTTCGCTGATCACGCCAGCTCAGCCTCTCCATGCTGATGTCATGCTCTTTCTTGAAGACAGCGCCGCCACAGTGTTCGTGTTTCGTGCTGAGAACAGAGTTGCCTCTTCTTTCCATTGTTGTAGCCATCACCTACGTAGTCACTCACTGTGCAGCCTACTTCATGAAATTGCCAATCATTCATTTGATCAACGTAGAGAAGCGTCTCTGAATGCGACTGGGAGTTACATGTTTTGACTTCCTACAAACTTGTTTCCGTTCTAGCTATCGCTACGATATTGATATTACCAGCCGATATCCAATGTTTTGTTTCGAAGGCGTCCGGCTCTCTTCGCTTTTGCTAAAGAAGACTCGGAGAATGCAACCGTTCATGCAGAACATGAACCTCACTGATACAGGTCGAACTTTTGGTGGTCTTCAGCCTGATCCGTCGTTGACTTGTTCTTCGCTCACGGCCTCCCTCCATCTCTACCATTAGCTTCGAACTTTCAATAGTTGAAAGAAATACTCGCCTATAGTCGACGAAGCAGAATGTAGCCTTTCGATTGAAGTATAAAGGAGAAGAACACGTTTCACTGTTTTCGCAATTAGCTCTTGACAGACGTATGATTTCAACACATGCATGCTACAGAACTTGAACCCATATCTTATTCGTTGCTCGCTGTCTGTGGTCACAACATTTGGGGATTCTTCTGATATAGTCGAGCGTTGCATCGGTGGGCACTACCTTTGGGTAAAAAATTGATGACCCGTCTTTGACTTCGTAACCCGGAATAAATACGTGAATGCTCTCAAAGAGCTGATCCGTCTGCCAGGCGCGGCACCGTTATTGATAAGATAAATATTGCCACATCTGTGGTCAAATATAACCGTGTAGCCGCCCGATATAGATTAACTTCCCACCCGCTCGTCTCGTTAGTGTAGCAAGCGCGGTTGTTGTTGTCCCATAGTTGTGGTTGCACGAAATCCTTACAATGCGTCTAGCGGGTGGGCGAGTGAACGACACGGCAGGGGAAACGTTTGTTCTTTGAAGATTTGAGCCCCTTTCGGGTATGGACTAAGCAACTCCAGCACTTGGAGCTCGTAAACTACTAAAGTTATGCGTACAGTGTATATCGCGTATGAATCATAAAAGCCGCAGCATGTTTCGAAAGGCGGAATTAAGCCCCTTCTTCTCTTTTGCCATAGAAGCCTCCGTGAAACAAAATCAAGACCGTAGTCCACCTTCCTCTTTTCTCTTCGAACGTGAATGAACTCCCAAAACGCCATGCCATGATTTCCCGCTGATGAGAAGAGTTCAGATCCTACCCGGCTACTTTCCGTTATGGCTTGCCGCTCGGCCGGTATTGCGACTCCCCACCTTGGGACCATGAGTACTGGCGCGACTGGTTGTATACTGGCAGGGGTGAGTTACCTGGATCTTGTGATGTTGGTAGTTCCACGGGATGTTGCTGCTGGTGAGGCGGTGGTGTTTGTTGTGGCATGCTGTAACATCTGGTTAGGTTTCATCATTGTCATCGTAGTGCCCAATGTAGAATTGACTTACTAGTAACCCTGTGATCCCATCGTGCTGCCGTCGAGTCCCTGCATCAATGGGCTGCTCTGGGGATTATTAAACCCCGGACTAGGATGGGGGTTGTACTGCGCCTGGTATTCGGGACTCATTGGCGGTGGGCTCCCAGTCATCGAGTAGTGGCCGGGATGTACCAATGGTGGGCTCTGTGCGCCGTGGCCGTACGGGTCATTGCCCGGCGGCGTCGAGTACTGAGTCGTCGCAAAAGTCTCTTGACCAGGACTCTTAGGCGTAAACTTGGCTTCGACCATTGGTGCTGGAAGCGACGATCGGCTCTGACGATGGTAGGCCTTGTCGAGACCGCCTCTCCTTCCACATAGATAGATCAGGGCGGCGGCCAGCACGACGACGGCAGCACCACCGATGGCGATTCCTGCAATAGCACCTCCGCTGAGAGAGCTTCCGTGGTGATGAGAGTCCGAGTCCGAGTCCGAACCGGACCCGCCTGCTGACGAGGTTGCCGTTGCGCTCGGTGCGCCCGACGAGCTGGCTGTTTCTGATGGGAAAGGCTCGCCTGGTGTTAGTTGTAGCGTGGCATTGTTGACAAACTGTGTCTGGACAGCCAACGTCCATGTCTCGTTCTGCACATCCCGTTAGCCCCTTGCTTCTCGTAGCCTTGCTTTAAAAGCCCGACTTACAGGATTGATGACGCCAATCATGTGCTGGTCAGTACATGAGCCCGGCGCAGCACAATAGAAAAAGATGGGTTCCGTCGTATCGTTTACTCGGACTTGAAATGTCGGGCCCTGATCGTCATGAGCAATTGTACATTATATGCGGCCGGATATTCAACTCACATTGTTTGAGATTGTCTGAACCTCTTCAAAACCGCTGAAAAAGCCAATCTTATTGGGACCGGTATATTCATAGGGAATGCAAGGGCTCTTGAAGCCTCCCCGTGCTACGCCGTGACCAGTTGGATAGAAACGGAATTCTGTCTATCGTGTAAGTCAAAGGGACTCATAGTACTTGAAGCAATGGCGCTCACCAATGATATCGCCCTCGGCGGCATCCGTAATTTGATTCGGAGAGAATTTGAAGCCTTCCTATGAGTCTGTTAACATTGCAATCCTCCTTCGTGTTTTCTTCTCCAGCTGGGGAGCCTTACAGCGCCGACCGCTATCGAATGTGTCGTAGCCGGGGCCGATGATGTCTGAGTAGCGCTTTGGGCATGGATGCCAACTGCCAAAGCAGCGACACCAACAAGCAACCGGGTCAGCATTGTTGTCGTGATCTGTTTCGTCTTTCTCGATGACGTTCTGCAACAGCAACGACTCAAGCCTGCCGTTCGGGAGAGTGCAGGAACGACATGAAGGGCAAGGAAAAAGAGGCGGGAAGAAAGGCTGGAGGTGGGTGGGTTATGGGCCGTCCCAGTAATAAGTAAATGGGCTATCTAAATGCTGACAGGAGCGCAATGAGCAGGGTGGTTGCCCACGGCTTGCAGTAGTGAGAGCAAGCCACCGGGACACAACCCAACCAGACACAGCATAGCCGAACTAAGGTGTGTCTATGTGCATACAAAGTACCTACCCTGCTCGGACACCACCGACAAGAGGAAAGAGTGACGAGAGAGACATGGGGTTTGGTGGAGGGCCTGGTGCTGAGTTGGTTCTGGGATCGACTTTGGGGGCTGAGCCGGGGCTCCCAGCCAACTCTGGCTGAGCCAGTCTGGGCACATACTTTTGGGCAATTGAAGATGCAAGTAGTCAAGCAAGTACTGTACTTTACATGGCCTCCTCAACCAGTGCACCCATTACAAAGACAAAGGGCTAGCCGACTGGAGTAGAACACGGCGATGGCCCCGCCTCCATGAGATCGTGGCTTTTGAGGGACAAAGACAGACATGTGGTGGCGCAACCCTGTGATCGTCGAGATCAAGCACTATGCCGGTAACGTCTTTTCAAAATAGGTCCTCGAAAGAAGTGACGTTCTTCTAGAACAACTTGATTGGCGTTGAGAGCCCAGGGCGGTTGACTACGCTATTGGAAGTGGATTGATTGTAACTGATAAGAGAAGAGTCAACGTCCGAAGAGGCGGACGCCGTCTTCGAAGCGGTTGTTAACTGGGATTGAGTTGCCTTTTCAGTTTGTTCAACTCTTAAAGACCCGACAATCAAAGGCTGCAGATAAGACTTCGCCGCTCTCGGTATTGCATGCCACACTCGACACGGGAGAGTTATTACATACTTGACATTTGACGCGCACCGTAGCATTGCAGAAGATAAAAAAGAGTGGAAATTAATATCCTCTACCCAACTCTCGGGAAGCGGCCGACGGGAACTCCACGCAAAGGGAACCGATATTTGCTGAGCAAAGAATCCCTGTGCTTGATCAGCCTT